TCACAGGGTTAGTTGTGAGGATCAAATGAGGTAATGCTGATAAGCCACCTAACACAGTGCCTGGCACATAATAGGCACTTAACAAATGCTAACTCAAAGGCTTACAAAGTGATCATGGGAAATCATTTCATCTCCCCATCTCACTTGCTCATTTGTAAAACTTGGAGGAAAATAACTTGCATTACCAACCTCACAGGTCTGTTATAAGTAAAGCTCATTAACATTAAAGGATTATATTAGAATGAGTTTTTGCTATCTTCAGGAAGAGAATGATGACCATCGGCCCATTGATACTGAACAGAACAAGAGATTGGATGAGATGGCCTTAGACCTTTTCATTTTTATCCATTAGAAATTCCTTTAGCTAAGAGATTAGACCACATGCATTCTCCAGGTCCCTTCCACTCTCAAGGATGTCAGTACATGACACTGTACCCTAACTCACCCCTAAAAGTCTCCCAAAAGTGGGGGGATGGGAGGTACTTAAAGAAATTGGCTTAGTTACAAATTACATGTGTTGAACTATTGCAATTAATGAGTCAACAACCATGTTCTTATAAAATTAGCCACCAGTGTGAATTACCTGAAAAGTCTATTTGCTTTTGTTCTGAAGATGGTGGAAGGAAGCATAGTGATAACTCTGGCGGTGTCCTTAGAAACCTTCTAGCCCATCCTTTCATTTTTCAGAGGAGGAAACTGAGGCCCAGAGAAGGAAAGCAACAGCTCACTCACTAGTTTAGGAGAAAAGGAGAGTGGAGTTGGGTGTTGGGAGGCCTGGGTCTGAAAATACTGTGACCCTGAGCAAACCATTCTAACTTCTTTGAGCCTCAATTTCACCACCTATAAAATAAGAATGAGAATACTCACACTGCACACTGTTTACCCCATAGCACCTTTAAGTGCTATAAAAATGTGAACTATGTGGCACAGTGGATAGAGCACCAGGCGTGGAATCTGGAAGACCTGAGTTCAAATCTAGTCTAAGATAATTCACTAGCTGAGTGACCCTGAGCAAGTCACTTAATCCTGTTTGCCTCAGTTTCCTCATCTGTAGAATGAGCTGGAGAAGGAAATGGCAAACCACTCCAGTATCTTTGCTAAGAAGACTCCAAATGGAGTGTCAGACATGACCAAACAACCGAACAACAACAATTACAATTTGAACTCGGGTCTCTAGACTTGTGATTGTTCCTTTCCCTTCCTTCCTTCCTTAAAATACTAAATGAAAGAGAATTCTGTCATGTACAGAATCAGGTCATGTATCTGTACCAGTGAGTGCACATCAATGAGAGACTGGGGAGATCTCAAAAGGTCCTGGCTTTTACTTTATTTCAATGAAAATAAATTGAATCATAAAATGTTAGAGTTGGATCAAACCTTAGAATGTTAGAAAACAGAACATGGATTTAGTAGAGCTGGAATGGCCTTTGGAGATCATCTAGTCAAGATGCCTTATTTTATAGGTGTGGATGCAGAGATGCTAGCTAGAAGGTCACAGAACCTCATGATCTAGAGCTGGGAAGGATCCGAGGGGTCATCAACCTGCCTGAAGTCACACACGAAGTGAATCAGTGGCAGAGCCATGAGACCTGTGATCCCTTCTAAGAACTCTCTAAAAAACCACACTGCTACTGTTTATGTCTGTGCCTCCAACAGGCCCTTTCTCATTCAAAAGCAAACAGCCCTGAGAGGGATAACAGATTAAACTCCCCCTCCCCCCCCGTCCCTGTACTGAACACAGTGTTCTGTACATATTAAGTGTACAATGGGCTTTTCTGAATTGAACTGAATTCACTTTCCCCATCATTAGCACCTTCCAAATGAATAATTTACCAAAGAACAGACTACCATCTTTGAAATCAAACAGCAGGAGCCTGAGGGAATAATAGGACGTAGAGTAGCTAAAGAAGAAGTGTCCAGAAGTTAGCTAGAATTTCATTCATTGTCTACCCACTCCATTGTACTAGTAAAAAGGCAGTGTCAGCTGCTTATAATATCACCCACTTGTTGTTTCCAGTAACTTCCAAAAAGAAATCTATCAGTTGGTGAAGTTAGTTCATAGAATCATAAACTCTCTAAGGGACCTCAAAGGCCATCTACTCAACATTTTTTCTCTCCTGCCTATATTTCATGGATGAGGAGAGACTGAGGTGCAGAAAGGAGAAGGACTCATGAAATCATAGCCTCAGAGTTAGAAGAGGCTGTCCTGCAAAATCTACCTTTATACTCAGGTCATCCAATATCTGCTAGAAGACTTTCTTGTATTTTTTTAATTAACAAGCATTTTTTCTCTCCTTCCTAGGCCCCCTCATTTGAAAAAAAAAAAAGGAAAACAAAAACAAAACACTTATATCAAACATGCATATTCAAGCAAAGAAATCCTCTGCTGGCCATGTCCAAAAAACAGTGTGTCTTATTCAACATATTTAGGCCATCACCTTTCTGTCAGAAGATAGGTAGCATTCTTCATTATCAATCCTCAGGAATCATAGTTGGCCATTGCATTGACAAGAATTTTTAAGCCTTTCAAAGTTTTTCATTTTCACAGCATTAGGACAGGAAGCTTGCTGCTTTATGAGGCAGTCCATTGCATTGCAGGAAATCTGTGATTATTTTTTTTAGAAAGATCATCCTTTTATATGGTGGGCTTATAACTTGCTGCCCATTGGGACTGGTTCTACCTATTAGAACTACGAGGAACAAATCAGCCCCTTCTTCCACAGGACAGTCCTTCAAATATTTGAAGACAGTGGCTTACTTTAATCTTTTCTAGTCATTCCTGAACTGTATTTAGATACCATCATGGGCAGAGAGTGGCTACTTGGCACAGTCAGGGGCAGCAAGAGAGCTAAAGTCAAATTCTGTACAAATCCTCTTTTCCCAAATGACTCTCCTTCTCAGGACATACCACCTGGTATCTCTTTGCCTCTTTTCCTTTCAATAACTAGGAACGTTCGACAGCCTCAGATTCTAAATCCCAAAAACTTTCCCTTACCAAGCATTATCCCTTCTTGTTTGATGGCAAGCTGTGCTTAATTCAACCACAAGAATGGTTTTATATCTGTAATTAATGAATCTCATACAGGAAGCATGGATAGGATTTTCAATTTGATGTGTTTTAGGTTTTGACCCATGTGGCTACTTCCCTCCACCAATAAAGACCATGACTTAGTAAAGACAGTGACCAATTGGAGCATGGCCAGAGGAAAGTGACTAGGACAATAAGGAAACTCACTAAGGTCCCTTCCAGTTCTAGATCTATGATCCTATGAAACTGAAGGTCATACTATGTGGGGACTAGTTGAAGGACCTGGGGATATTTTGAGTGCATAGGGTCATAGATTTAGGTTTGGAAAGTGACCTTAGAGGCCATTGAGCCCAACATCTTCATTTTGCATATGAGGAAACTGAGACTGGGGATGCAAAGTGATTTGCCCGAAGTTATACAGGTTGTTAAATATCAAAGGAAAAGAAAATAATGCTTTGGTGGTAAGGGCAAGGATTGGTGAACAGTACAGTGATAATTGTCTTTCAGTATTTGAAGGACTATCAGGGCAAAGAGAGATTCTATTAATTCTGCTTGGTTCCATGTGGCAGAACTAAATACTGAACAAGGACTTGAGTTGTAGAGTGGCTGATTTAGGCTTGAAGAAAGGGAAAAAAAATCCTCTGGCCATCCTCCAGTTTGTCAATGTCCTTGCTAAATCACACTCTGCATTATTAGTAGGAGCACCCACATTTATCAAAAACTGGATCTTTCAAGGTATCAGAGTGAGAATCTGGGTGCTTGTTATCCAGAAGTAGAATGAACTATGGTGAGTTTCTCCAAATCAGAGGTCTTCTAAAAGATGCTAGTTGCCCCCCTTGGGGATTTTAAAGAGACTCCCATTCAGTTAAGGATTAAACTAGAAAGCCTCTGAGATTCCAACCAACTCTGAGTTTTTGGAATTCTGTGAATTCTTTAAGAGTTGACAAGGTTAAAAAAAATACATAATCTAATTGGGCTACCTTGCCAAGTGTACTTGAACCCAGCTGTACTGATCCTCAAAACAGATGCACATCTCATCCTTGGGTCTATATGCATAGGTGACTGGGGCTTGGTTTCACCCAAAATTTTGAAGAGTACGAAACTTAAAATAATAATTTTAAAAGATTGTGCCAGTTTTAAATGTTTTGCATTTTCATTCTGATAGCACTCATACTAATTCAACTACACAGGGGAAAAAACTGAGCTTATTATCTAGTTAGCAAGAATAAGCAAGTAAAATTGGAAGGTATCAGATGGTCCACTTACTCTCTAAAGTGTAGAGTCTACACACATATACCCTCCCAAGCAGCCACACCCCAGGTGAGCTCCTTCTCTGTTCAACTCAGCCCAATCTACCCCAGAGGTCCAAGGTTTATTGTCCCTAGGACTCCCATAAGAGGCTGATCCAGGAGGTTTCCTGTCATTATGAAGAACTGGACTTTCTCCCCATGGCTTAACATCCTAAGGTGTCTATTATGAGACCAGTGTTGGGGGGGGGGGGGGAGGTCACCTTTCTTGCTCAACTAAATTTGTCTTAATTATTTTTGTCATATCTTTACATTATGAATTATAAAATCATTTGAGGCCATTATAGGTGCAGGGGGTATTTTCTACTACCTTGCCTAGGTCCAATCAAAATTGCTCACAACAACTCTGCTTACATTCAGATCCTTGCCAACACATCAGAGTTTGTGTCCTATTAACTCAGCACCTTTGACCTCACAGTCAGTCACCTCCAAAACACAAGGCATAAGTGAAGGAGGTTAGCAGAGGCCAAGTGGGACAGCTTGACATAAAAGGACTTGATCAGTCTGAAACCTCCTGGTTGTCCAAAAGCATAAGGGTATTCCTATTAAAGGACACACATCAGAGGAAGAAAGCACATTTAAAGCAAGATACAGTACTTTAAAGGAAGCATGTAATATTAAGTTTGAATTGCATTTTTCATTCCTGTCTTCTTTTCTTCCTTCAGGAACCCATCCCACAGCCACCTGACAAGTTCCCCCTTATAGGAGGTAAGACTTTGAAATTAATCATGAATGCTTCAGTCGCTTGACTTGTTATAAAATTTTGTTGCTTGACTGTCAGAAGAGAAAAAGTGAAAGTCTTCAACAAACCCACATCCTGGTATAGGTTGGTCAGAGGGCTGGCCTTCTATGCTTAGGATGGGACTTGAGGGACCAAAGAGCAATGGCTCCCACTAATAGCTGTTTCTAGTGAAAAGACTGGACCTAGAACCAGAAAATAGATGTTTGAGTCCTCATTTTGCCACTTGCTAACCATGAAACCTTAGGAAAGTCACTTTAGCTCTCTGGGCCTCAGTTTTCTCTGCTGTAAAATGAGAGAAGTGTGTTAGATCATCTATAAGTCTCTTTCCACCTCTGATATTCTGGGTTTTAAGATAAGGTCTCCATATACCAACTGTTAAAACACAAATACTATTTGTCATTAGGTCCTTAGAATGAATCTTTATCTGATAGCAAGTTGTTAGCTTTTCAAAGCAAGACTAAGGCTCTAAGAAAGTGACAGATAGTTAGCCAGTTACTAAAGCATTTATTAAGCTCTTAGTATATACCAAGTGCAAAGGATATAAGGAAATGCAAAAACATGGTCCCTTCCTACAAGAAGCTTGAATTCTAAAAGATTAAAGAATACATAAATAACCATAAATATACAAGATAGAGACAGAGACCAACTAAAATTTGGTGGGGGGATGGGGGTAGGGGGAGGTAGAACACAGTGACTAGGAGAGCAGGTCTTTGTGGAACATTGCGATAGGGCACTCTGGAGAGAGGGGTCAGAACCAGGGGTGAGAGATATGGGAAAATGCCAACATCAAATCTAACCAGCTTCATTGTTCTGCCAAAGGTATTAAGATTACAGGGCCCACTAGCCAGAGAGTGATTTGAGTAATGTTGCCTTAGTCCAGACACTCTTTTGTATTAAAGAAGCTATTTCTCTACCAGTGTCCAGAAGCCCCTTGAAATAGTCAATGCAAATTTATCACGTCTAATATAGCAATTCTTCCAGAATGCAAATTAAATAACACAAGGACAAATCTGCCTCTCCTTTGCAAAAGAAGGATAAAAATAACAGGTTATACTAATTTAGAACGTTATATCTGACATTTCATTTTATCCTTACAACAACCATTTGAGATAGGTAAGGAAATACCGTTAACCTCATTTTACAAATTAAAAAAACAAAACTAAAAAGGTAAACATGACTTCATCAAGTACATTAGTAACAATGCTGGAGACTCACACCTAGCTCTCCTTATTCCTGGACCGGTTCTCTTCTCATTATGTCAACTCTGTGTTTCTGCTAGGTGATTGAAATTCCATCTGTTTTTTGCCACATAGCTTTCTGTGTTTTATAGCCAATTATTGGCCCAAGAAACCCCCTGACACATAGATGAGTAGGCATCCCACTTTAACATTAAGCCCCAAGGAGGCTTTCTGTGTGTGCTAATGGAGGAAAAAAGCCAAAGAACAATCCAAAGAAAAATAAAAGCACATCCTTCATCTACTATAGTTTTATCCAAGAAAAGCTTATGCAAGGAACTATCCTACTTGCAAAGCCTCAGAAAAGAGGGAATTTACCACTCAGTGGAGCCCACTATGGTGAGCTCATTAGTGGACCTTGCCAGGCTCTTTTCAAAGCATAAAATCATCATTGGGAATGCCAGAGGACAGACCTAAAACTCTCTAGGGAACCCTCAACCTTCACACTGATGTAAATTCTCTGCCCACACAATACTCAGAAACAGCAAATATTGAGCACACCAACTGAGGTAGGAGTTTTTGTTCATACAAAAAAGAAAAAAAAAAGATGATGAAATGTGATGAGCCATCATTACAGGAAAACCACAAAAAGCAGAAGCCAAATATGCAGTGAAAGGATTTGTGTCCCAACAGAATCCTGCACTTTCCCTGCCCCCGGCCTAGTAGAATCAAAAATATTAGGGGTCATAAATCATTAGTATTAAACTCAAAAAAGTGAGCCATACATAAAAATCCCTATATTAAGACTTAGAAAAACACATATTAACATTATCTATGTTCTATTATATTTTTGTTTATTTTGTAATTAAATTAATTAAAATAAAAAGAAGGAATTAAATTAATTAAAATAATTTCATTTTAATCTGGTTTGGGCTGCTCTTGGGAGTGTTGTGGGCAGCTTCACGTTTGACACCAATACCTTAAAGCATAGAATATTAGGCAATAGACTTTGAGAGCTGATAGGTATCTTAGAATATTTGTGCCCAAAGTAACCCCAGAGCATGATATCTAAGAGCTGAAAAGAACCTTAGAACATAGATTATAGAAAGCTATAGAAAAGGCCTTAAAGCATACAGTGTTAGAGCCCAGAGGGACCATAAGATCATTAATTTAGAATTAGAAGGAACCTTAGAGGTTATTTAATCCAACCCTCTAATCGAACAGATATGTAAATTAAGGATTGTAAAGGTTGACTGCCTTGACCAGCATAATGCAGCCAGTGTCTGAGGAAGGGTTTGAAGTCAGATCTCCAGGGCTCTACCCACTATGTCATGCTGCCTCTCTATATGCCATAGCATACAGAATCTTAGAACTAGAAAATGTCTTAAAATACAGAATGTCAGAGCTGGAAGGAACCTTAGAGCATCAGTAGTGAAGGAGGGATGTGATATAATAGAAAGCATGGGATATTTAAAAAGTAATGAAGGATCTGTTGCTAGCTGTGTGACCCTGGGCAAATTATTTAGCCCATATGAGCCTCAATTTACTCATCTGAACACAAGGACAATAATGCCTATGGCATCTACCTAATGGAATTGCTATAAGGAGCAAATGAGATAATTTGCATAAAGCACTTTGCCAATATATAAAGGTCTATAATTATTAATGTCACTGTAGCTCAAAGGAACACATAAAATTCAAATGTAGAAGAAACCTTAGAACACAGGAATGTTGACCCAGAACCATGCTTAGAACATTGACTATTAGAGCTAAAAGGAACCTAGAAAAAATAATATGTTAGGACTAGAAGGGACCCTTAGAAAACCACCTAGTCTGACCCCTTTGCATCATAGAGGGGGATCATTGATCTTGAGCTGGAAGGGACTTCAGATTCCAGCTCATCCAACTGATTCTTTTTCCAAAGGAGGCTGATCCCAATGACTTGTCCAAGGTTACAGAGTCAGAGGCACAATTTTGAGTCCCTCTAGCCCCAGATTCAATGCTCTTTTCATTGTCCCTAGACAGGGGGATAAGTTGTTGAAGAAATAGCCAATTACTAAAAAAATTGTAAAAAGGGAGGGAGTAGAAATTACATACAAAGTTTAGAGTTGGAAAGAATGTGAAAGATCTTCTAGGCCATAAAGTCTTTGTTATTGTTATTGTTGAGTTGTTTCAGTTGTGTCTTATCCTTTGTGACCCTATTTGAAGTTTTCTTGACAATGATACTAGAGTGGTTTGCCATTTCCTTCTACAGATCGTTTTACAGATGAAGGAAACTAGGGAAAACAGGATTAAGTGACTTGCCCAGCATCATACAGCTAGTAAATGTCCCAGGCTGGATTTGAACTCAGGAACATGGGTCTTTTTGATTCCAAGCCCAGTATTATATCCACTGTGCCACCTAGTGGTCCCAGAGGAAGCCTAAGGTTTCTTATTGATTATTGAATTAACTTGGACTGAAGTTCAAGAACTTGTTTTTTTAACTATTTCAACAGAATCAATTTCCCTTCTACTCCTATGTATTTTATTTTATACATTTAGAAACATTAATGCAAAAAAGGGTCCATAAATGTCACCAGATTGCAAAAGGAGTCCATGACACAGAAAGATTAAGAATCTCTGATCCAGAACAATTCCTCATTTTGCTGATGAGAAGAACAAAGCCCAGATAGGTTAGTCAACTTGTCCAAAGTCACACAAGTAGCAAGGAGAGTGTGGATTCCTCTGACTCCAAAATCAACACTCTACCACATAACACTTCTCTAAGCGAGTGCTAGAACATAAAGTCAAGCCCTAATACAGCATATAAATCCAAGGCCACATGATAGTTATAGGAAATATGTTTGGATCCCTTATTCTACCTTCCTTTTAAAGACCTGTCAAGCTCTCCAGGAAAGGATGGGTTATTCTAACACCTCTGAAGCTGTAGTACTGTGTGCCCTTTAAAGTCATTCCCTCAGTGAATTAAAGACACCACCTGGTGGTATCCAAGGCAATGGGGAAACTTTAAATAGCACAAGGATAAAGAGTTTTAATGGAAAACAGAATCTCCGTCTCTCTATTCATCACCTTTCAACTTAATAGGAACCAGAAACTGTCCTTTCCCACCACTCTCAGGAAAGGACTAACAGAATAACAATCTCATGCCAAGGGCAAACATGAGATTACTGGAAAGCAACACCTTAAGCCCTACCAGGCCCCGACACCTGGAAAGCATATTATCTATCTGCCAGGTCTAGGACTGATGTATCATTGCAGAAGCCTGATGATTCCTGATTTGTGCCTTGGCAGGATCTGGTGGGTGGGCCTGAAATCATCTGTTGGCAGACTAGAAAGAATGAGCTTTTGAAGGTTAATTAAAGGCTTATATCTCAGATTGCTTTAACTTTCTCTTCAGTATTCAGCCTAACAGCACAGTCAATGAGAGATAAGAGAGCACCATTTCTTTCATTAAATCTTTTTTTCTAATAAGAAAGCTTTTAAAAAATAATTCACTTGAATCTCCATGTCTTGGAGTATTAGATTTTCCATAAATAGAGTAGATGGCTAAAATGTTCCCAGTTTTTGACCTGAGACTGTCCACGTCAGCTCTACAGAAATGCAAGTAGTAAAGAACGATCCTTCTTTGTGGTATACAGTAAATGTTAACAACTGGCTCTCCCAGAAAAAAAGTACATCCATTTAATCAGCAAATTTTTAGCCATTCTTCCTTTCTGACATTTCTTTCAACCATCTCTGACATCCCATTCCCAGGGTCTCCCCTTAGTCCAGACCTAATTAAAATGTTAGAA